TGAAGAGGGTGATGTAGTTGATGAGATACCATCGTAACTACCATTTGGCCAGGCAGGAGACGTTGCCCTAGACACTTTTTTAAAAAAATAAAAGTGTTTGAATATTTCAAATTTCATGGCAAACAAGATGCTGTGAATGCCATTTAGAGAATAATGATTGCATTGTCCTAATTCCAACTGGTGGTAGGAAAGACTGAGTATTATGAAGTTCTTGGGATCATTCTACCCAGATTCAACATTGGTGTTCCTGTGATTTCTTATACATGGTTCCTTTCTTGGCAAACCTGTGGTAGCTTAAAATTCCCCTCAAAAGTCTTCTGAGGGGATAGTTTTTGACCTGCTTTGCAGTTGCAGAGGAATACAAGATCATCTAATAATTATCAATGGACACAGAATTACCTTGAAATGCAAAAAACGTTACGATAAGTATAGATGGTTCTGCATAACTACTAACCCCCAACCCCCTTCCTAGAAATTTTAACTACAAAATTATAATCAAGATACAAGCATCTAAGGGAAAAAACAGTAAAAACAGGCCCCTGGACAAACTGGAAGAATATGCAGTAAAAAACACTACACTACACTATTAGTAGGCTGATGTCAGGTCTATTAACAGTGTCAAGCAATGAAAAATGCCAGCTGTTTTCAGTATGGACCAGAAGCTCAGCCATGCAAAACCCTCACCCCTTTCCGTTGCTTCCACCTCACCCAGAGAAATAAAAAAAATTGCTCCTATTCCTTAACTTAGTGTCACTGGATATTGAATTGATGTATGTTTTATGAACTTCTGCCGTGATTATTGAACTGAGATGTGGTCAGGTCATAGAACTATGGTCAGCAAAAGAGAAAACCTGCACCTGCACCCCTAATCCAACTTAAACTCGATTTAGCTGTCTTGCCCAAAGTAATAAAATACTTTGCTCCTATAATTTCTTTATTTTGGACAATGGAAATTGGGTTGATGTGTGTTTTTTGAACTAATACTGCTATAAAAGCATGTGTACAGTTGCCCCTTCCGCTCAGAAAAAATTGCTGTACATGGGCTACTGAGATTATTGAACAGGCATGTTGTCATTGAACTAACTTCTGTTAAAAAAAGGGTTAAGCCTTTTCCCCTTCTTTTACATTTGTGTGTCCCAATAAAATTACATTGAGACAACAGACCTGGAGTTTCATCGAGATGTAGTAGTGTGGTTGTTGAATCATTGTGTTTTAACTGAACTATATACTTTATTCAACCTTTATTCAAACATTTTTAGTCTTGCAATAGGGGTGCCATCATGCCAGACATCTAGCTAAATAAAATTGGTAGTGTAACAATTAATCAAATTCTCGATTAATCGTGATTATGACCGTTCAGGATTCTTTGCTTCCGCATCTCGATTTTGGTTCGGTTTTTGCACACCTTTTCCAGGGCGCCCTCAGTGAGTTATTATATTCTAAAATAAGAATCCAGAACTCTTTAATGTGCGTTTTTGATTGACGAGCAAAGACGATAGCAGTTCGTGCGCCATTTTGAGTTGCCTGGCAAAAATGCTGTCCTTCAACCTCCCCTTGAGAATTTCCAAATAAGGCAATTAACCATATGCAACACACTCTTTGTCAGGTTCTCAAACATGGCAACGAACCTAGCGACTGTGAATCCTCCTGTCTCTGTTACTATTCTTATATTGAGGATTTACGGTTGCATGCTGTTTACATTACGCATTATGTTATAAGAATTACGAAACATTTAAGTAATCGAATCGAAATAATCGAAATCGAAAGGCAATACTCGAAATCGAATCGAATCACAAGGAATATGAATATTTTATTTTTTTCAAACTAATGATAGCAATAACAAAATCTCCTACAAAAGATAAAATCGATAAATATATCTTAGCATTAATTATTGTACAATATATAGAGGATATTACACATGGCTGCGCGGAGATACAAAATTTCCCTTCGAGTGTTGAAAAATATTTCATGAGTAAGCGCAGCGAACGCGTGAAATATTTTTTCAACACGAGAAGAGAAATTTCGTATCTCCAAGCGGCCATGTAATGTTCTATTTATTACATAAACACCAATGAAATAACAAACCATTTCACTTTCATAGTTTTTGGGTGTGAAAGGTGCGATTTATTATGTAGCCATAGCAAAGGTCATATTTTCACATGTGAAGATATCAAGGTTTCGTGCGACAGCTAACCTGGTATTTCACCTGGTATTTAAAATACTAAAAAAAAATTAAGCTAGAAAAGACTGCCTTTCTAGCTGGAGATTTTGGTTTCCCTCATCAAGATGGAGAGAGGTAGTCCAAAATAATTGATTGATCACTGCTGGCACCTTCCTTCTCTTCAACCCCTTCCCTGATCCGAAAATAAAGTTCATTACTTATCTCTCGAGAATCTAGGGATCTTATACGGAGAGTTAGGAATTTTAAGCTTCAACAAGTTATGCATTTTTATTTATTTTGTCAAAAGCATCTACTGAAATATATCCATCTGTCCCTGGTTTCATAGTTAGTAACGTCGCAGACTTAAATCTTGGTGTAAGGACATAATGTGGTCTTGATAATCAACTCCTGACCTTGCACAATCTACCTAGGCCTTGCACTTCTTTCAATTCACAAGGTTACTTGCTCGTTGTTCGGTGGATTTGGCCTAAAAGAGCGAAAAATAGAGACAGTCGCCAGCGCTGTACTTTACTAATCCGGATTCTCCAACAAACGACAAGTTAAATACTAAAATATAATACTTACCCGGTACCGTCAAGTCATCAAATATTTTGTTAGAGGTCTTCGATTCGTAAGAATCCAGCAGAATCCGACTCCTTTGCAGCCTGTCGGTTATTTCTACCTCAGGTTTTGAAATTTTGAGCCATTCACCTGTCTACTCAAAGTTTACAATGTTTACAACAATATGCTACTAAAATTGATCGCTTCCAAGACTTAAAAAGACCAAAAATTGGGCCGTGCCAAGAAAACGACTTTTTTACCAAGAAAACGACACAAGATCTGGCAGGCGCTTCGCCTGCCGTCTGTACCCTTCCCATGGTCCCTTGCGGTTCATCACCAGTCACTCGTTTCGCGCTCGCCTCTGCCTTGCGAAAAACGAAGCGCCTGAGGAGGAGGCTGGTATTGTATGAAAACGAGAAGTTTACTAGCACAGACTGCCAACTGCCCATTCCTCCCGAACCACGGGCCTCATTGATTACACTGAGACGATCCTAATTTGCGGTCTACAGTCTTCATAAAAACGCATTATTTTGTTTTACAACATAAAAGATATTCAGTTTTAACATTTTTTTTTCTTGGCATTTTTCTCTAACTTAAAAGAAAAAAATCCTTTGCATTTTAATTTGTAACCTAAAAAAGTTTAAAAGTTTCTCGCTCGCATGTTGCTTTCATTGGCACGCACTTTAAACAATGTAAATAGATGAAACGATCCATAACATATTTTTTTTTATCGTGATACTAATATGAGTTACAAATTCGCTCGAGTTCGCTGTTTGTCTCACCCACGGACTAACTTTTCTTCATGGCAGAAAATTATGCCGCTTTATAACTCCCACGAAGTTTTCGTGCCATCTGAAAGAAACGCACAATGTGCCCTTGTTTACTTCTGATTACATGTGCACGAACTCTCTCTTTTGAAGCGATTCATCTCAATGCACAATAGTTTACCCTTACGTTAATTAAAACCCTATGATTCATTATTTTCTAATACTGTTTTTGCCCCTCGCATTTACAGTGTTCGTTCGTATTCGATAAAGGTCGTGTAAGTCATGTGTATTATGTTTTAAATCGATTATAGGCTTTTTTAAGTTCCCATTTAGCGGTGGCTTCAGTTAACTTCTCCATAAAATGGTACACATGGCAAGAAACATCATGCGAGTTGTAAACTTTCAAAGGTTTTTTGAAACTCCCTAATGCTGCCATCAATATGTCGTGTTTGCTGAATGGGCGAACACACAGAATTGAGGAGAAGCATAACGAATGATAAAAAGATCACGTACAAATTTAATGATAAAAGCTCAGCAAGATACAGATGCAAAGACATGCAAAACCTCTGGGCTACACTTGAAACAACTGTATGCTCTACTCAGTCACAAAACCTTGTCAGTAATAGCTCCTATTTTCCTCAAGTAGGTCTTTGTGATGTCCCGGTGAAGCTTTGAACTTAAGCTTGTGTGCGAAATTCTCAGAGTTCTATTTTTGTCCGTGTCTTCTTTATCCTCAGTATCCGAAATTTAGACTCCAAAGTGGAGTGTGTTGCATTAAATAGAAGGAAACATTAAAATGAAAAGCCTTCTAACAGGGCAAAGTTGTCACTTTGCTCGCTTATTGACGTCCATCTCTTAACGTGAACGGCGTGTGGGTTTGTATGCAACGTGAGCATTTCTCTGATTCGGTTTTTCAGCACCAACAACATCAATTGACTTAAACTCGAACAGTGACAAAACTTATAAAGTGACCCCTATGATCGAATCGCTTCGAACAACGCAAATAGCCTTCTTAATTTGCAACGCCTTCCGGTATTCTGGGCGGGGCGAGGAACAAAAGATATTCGTGCAAGGGTCCGTGCAAGGGAAAATCCTTCGAAACCACTTTTGAGAACATGGTTTCTCGGTACAAGACCCCCGTGTTTTCCCTCCCCTGGGTGTACGTTTTTCTGCAGAGATGACCGAAAACCGAAATTTCAACCGGGCTTGTCCTACAGGCAGCCCAGTAATATAAGCTGACAAAAACTAACACATATCAGACAGTGCACTTAGAGAAAATAAAAATAAAACAAAACACCGCAATCACTGTGCACGAATTAGTTCACTGGGCAAATGCCAAACGAAATAAAAAGGTCTTTAGAGCCTGTTTGAAACCTTGAGCACTCCGGTTACTCCCGATAGCTAAAGGGAAAAGGGTTCCACGGTGAGGGGCCGACACGCACGAATGCCCTGTCCCCAAGGGTCTTGCATTTTGTTTTGGAGACCTTTAATTCGTGGCTGGTATTAGATCTTCAATTGTAAGAACCACTCTCCTTGAAACTTAGCAGCTTCAGTTTAGGTATGACAGGGGCCACAACCAGGATAGCTCGGTGGACGAGTAGCAATATTTTACATTGAGTTCGGTAAGGCACTGGTAAGCAATGTAGATTACAAAGGACTGGTGTGATGTGATTGAACTTGGGTACCAGGCAGACAGTGTAGGCAGCTGCATTAACAATCCTCTGCAACCGATCATGCTGGTATTTTGCGATGCCATACAGTAGTCGAGATGAGATGTTACAAAGGCGTGTACCAGGACTTTGGTAGCATCTTCCGATAGATACTTCCGGATCTGTCTGATGGAATATAGACCGCGGAAGGCCTTACTGCAGACTTTGCTCACATCAATGCTCATGGAGAGATTCTTATCAGACCATGCCCCGAGACTGTGGACGCTGGAAATAGGCTTAATTTCAGAATCCCCGACAGTGACCGACTTAAGCTGGACCTTGCTCAACTGTTGGCGGGAGCCCACACTGAGATTCTGTATCGTTTATCCTGAGTCGGTTGGTGACCATCCAAGCTCGAACGTCAGCAAAACAAGCTTCGACGGCTCTGAGGGCATCATGTTGAGAAGATGTCGACAATGGCTGTCATAAGTGATCGTCCGGGTAGGTGTATTCCTGAATAGGCCTGTTGTTGACTGTCACACAGGTTGTCGAAACGTCAGTCACTGTCAACCACAGTCACATTCAGGACTGCACAGGTCTATACTCACCCAAACGATCATATTCCATTTACTTATGACAAATAAAAACCTATAATTTTGGATAAAGGATACAAACAGCTGAAAGAAATCACGAGTATGTCCTGTTGCTTTAAAAATGGCAGGAAACCGAGTTCTGATTTTGCCGATTTTAGCTGACTAACATGGATTGTTTAGTCTTCCAAAAGGATGCGTAGGTCCCAATCTAAATCTTTCTAAATATTTAATAAACACATATAAAATTGGCGAATCCCCTATAAAGTCAAACGAGCCGAAAATTTTTACTTCGTTTAATCTGGCTCATTCCCTTTCCAAATCAGTATGCACGGATTTTCCACGACTTGTTTGGACGTAAATAAAACAAAAACACGCGCAAACTTGATTTTATGTTCAATAATATTTAGCTGTAATCTTGTAGAAAACATCACATGTGAAACTCGATCAAAGTAAAAGCAATGTTTACCTTTCCCGGTAAATGTTGCTAATAAACACGTGCAAAAAATTAAAGCTGTACAGTATAATGATTTTGCGCAAACCAACTTTTAAACTTTGTTAGGCTCAATGAAACAGCAGACTGAGGACATATTTACGGATGACACGCAAGCATTCGAACAAACGTGTTCGCCAAGCCTGTTTGGTACGTAAAAAATGGAGGAAAATTTCCATTTTATTTTCGCCCATTTGGGCGGACTTACGAGGTCAATCTTGCAAAAAGATTCAGAGGTCCCAATGTAAATCTTACTGAACATTAAACAGTAATAAATGGACTGTGCCAAAACCAATTTGATTTGAAATTTTATCCGCGCAGTTGTGCGAAAATGTAATTTGAAAGAGCTTAAAATTGGCGAATCCGCCAAAATCACACGGGACGAAAATTTGCACGCTCGCCAAAGACATTACTAGCTATCCAGAATCATTCATCATGTGAATACAATTCGATCGAATCTCAGACAATCTACATAAATCTAAAAACGCTGAAAACTGGCAAGAGGTAGGTAAAATAACTTGCACAAGTTACCCCAAATTTGACACGGGTATTGTTATGCAAATTAGCCAAAAACGAGGAGATGTATGAAATCATATCAGAAAGGTAATCTGTTGTAGGAATTTGAAAGTAATCGGCTAACCTCGACCCGTGGGCCCTGTCCGATTTTCTCTGACAGTGACACTTAAATACTTTTACTAGTAGCTTCAAACACTGTAAAATCAAAGGCTGTGAATATGAAATGTTCAGGAAATTTTGGTCCATTGAAAAGTGGTTAGTGGAGAGATGTATTCTTTTTCTGTTTACTTTTAATTTTTGTAAATGGCTTATTTCCTTTTTTATTATCATTATTATTATACCAGGCGGTTTGCATATGCATGAGGATTTAAAAATTCAAAGAAGCGTTAAAGCAATACATACAGGATAAATATTCATCACCATCAACATTTTCCTCATGACTTAATTGTTAACGCAAATACACTCAGTGTCTGCTCACTGTCTGCTCCCGCGTGAAACAGTGGTTTTGTTTTCTTGAGAGTCATCTAGTGTTTTGTTATAGAACAAAGTCATGTATTAACCTAAGAAAACTCTATGTCCCTATATTTTGAGAGCAGACGGACGAAGAAAACAACCATGCCATTAACAGCTCATTCGATTCTTTTTTATTGAAAGTATAAAATAAATCATATGTGTGAACTGTCTATACGAGGCAGATACGAAAATGAAAGTAACCCTCGCATGCAGTTAATTGAACCTAAGTGGTTGATAGAGAACCTGAAAAAATTCAGGTGGGAATCGAACCTGAACTTTGCGATGACCGGACGGAACACTCTACCCACTTGAGCTGATTAAGCCACCTGGGTCACTTGTTATAGATAACCGATTCCCGGTCAAGTTAATTTTCAAGCGAGCAACTGTTGATAAATTACAAGTATCCATCGTGGGATATAATTCATCAATTATTGCCAATATCACCTGACCCTGAAACAGCTAATGAGAGTGAGACATTGACAAACACTTCAACAAGCTATGTAACAATGCAAATTGTTCCTTGTGTTCATAAAAAGCATGAATTATAGAACCATTCAAAACTTACTGATTTACTTACAATTTTTCCTTTGATTTGCACTTTAGCTTGTACTCTTTGTTCTGGTGTTCCTCTGACAATGAACACTCCGTTGTCGTTACCAACCAGTTTTGCTCCAGTATGAGTGCTGATATCTTTGAGGTTTTTTCTCTTTATGCCAAAAACCAAACCTTTGTATTGTTCTGGAATTTCCACAAGCTCACTAGACGAAACTTCCTCAGCTTTCAAGTTTCTTTCCTGAACAGCTTGCTGTAAAAAAGTGCATTTCTTTACTGAGAATATAAATGCGACAGGAAGATTTAAGGTCTACTCGGTAATGCATACTAGATGCTACAATAATTGGTGAAACAAAAGCGGTTGCTACATGCGTGACAGTACTTTCAGTTGTCATTTACCCTTAAAAAGCGTTTTAATAAATATGGCGGAACGTCTGAGCAGTAAAACAACAGAAACAAAACGTTCACCTAAAACAACAGTAATAGTTGAGATAAAAAAAATAGACCTCTATTAGCTAATAGTCATACCAGTGTCAGTATTTTGAAGGCGGCTAAGGTGTTGCGCCCAGGTCTACTCTGCTTTCTGCCCGCTAACACTCAGTGAATCAATGGGTAATGGCAAGGGATCCCTTGCCATTACCCATTGAAGCATTTCTTAATGTTTAACAAAATACGTTAACCTAATCAACAACTCTTACTTTGTAGGTCTATTTGATCACGTTTTTAAGAATATAGCTTCCTTGTGTCCTTGCCGGGAAGGCGAACAATTGTTTTGCTGGGTGCAAGCCTGTGACAATTACCATTATTTTCACTGCCACACTCAAATCGAAATTAAAATTCACTTGGTCGCATATTTTCGTCAAGGAAACAACACAAACAGCGCCATTACCTTACATGGAATACTGCAGGGAAGTGGAAACATGCAGGGCCTTACACGCAGGGCGAACATGTAGGGAAAAAAATCGAAGATACTGTCGTTATGGAGATGAGGATATTGAAACTGTAAGAAACACAAATTTGGCACCGACAGTAAGTTTAAGTTACTGTAAGTATATTTCAACCAATAATTAAGTCACTTCTTGTACATTCAAGGCCAACCTTCCCATATTTTGTTTTTTGCTTTTGTTTGTTCGTTTTTTTTCTTTTTCAATATCCACACCTTCCAAAACTTCCTACATTTCAACGGTTGCGTAGCTGTGAAATTGATGGTCACAATTCATGGGTTAAGATGACTCAACAAATTGGCCTCCTCCCAATGTAATGGTCTTCATAAATCAGTTGGTAGAGCACTGCAGGCCATGGGTTTGAATCCCGTGAAAGTCCCGAAATTTTTTTCGGGTTAATTTGCAATTGCTTAAATTACAATTACCACTGCGACGATCATATCTTCATTTAAATTTGTATTTCTGCAGTTCACAGTCTTCATTCCAAAAGTTGTTTCACATTTGTAATTTATTAACTTACCACTTTTTCTAAGATGAGCCGCCTGGCGCATGCTCGTTGCTCTTGGTTACCACTGATTGTAAACCCTTCCTCCTCCATGGTCTGGGAAACTCTTGCTCCAGACTTTTGACTGATTTCTTTTATCACAACGCCACCAGTTCCAATCACGTACCTCTTCAAGTTTCTTGGCACCTCAACAAATTCACTCTTTCTCCTTTGCTCCTTACCAGTAAATAAAAAGTAAATTACCATTCTGCCCGGCGTCGACAAAACCTGGATCAGATCAACCGCTATAACCGTATCCCTAACCATTTGTAATTTGATGACTTACGGAGGTTTACCCGAGCCAGGTTTTGTTGTTGTTGTCTACGGGTGCCAGTGTTTTAACAAATCAGAGCTGGCGGCCAAGGTGACCTGCACATTAGACGACGTGACAGGTCCTTTCATTATATCTTTAAAAAATGGATCATTGGTTTATGCAATTAAAGAGTTTTGATTGGCTAAGCGATCACGGGGTATAAAAAACTGAATCATCGGATAATGCAGTTCTTGAGTTTGATTGGCTTAGCCATCACAGCATATGAGCCATTATACCATGCTCTATAAATATGTTAAGTTTACGCGTCAGTTCAAGATTAGAAGCATGCTGAAGTTCTTTTTCTCAGAGGGAAGAAATGGCGACCGGAGAAAATTCTTAGACTGCTCGAAATGCAATTTCGTCGGAAAATACAACAAAAGACCCAAAAGTATAAACAGTATGACATGATGATTTTTTGAAAATACATGAAAAACATCTCGACCGGCTACGAAAGAAGTCAAGCGTGTTTGGTAAATTTCTTGGCGATCACGAAGCCACTCGCCGAAGTATATCTCCGCCCTGTTCATCCGACAAACAGAATATACACCACAACCGACAACAGTCGAACCTCCATGTGGGACCACCTCTCGTAAGAAAGCACCTCCCTATAAGCGACAACTTACCTTTAACTCCTCGCCAATAGATGAGCTTAGGATAGGTGCCTCAAGCAAAACTAAAGTAATACGTAAAAGCACTGCAATTTAAAGGGGCCGCCGGCATCCCCGTAGAACACGTGCTTGAAAGAGTAAAGCCGCTGGTTGCATCGGCTCAAGTGGAACCTTACCTAACATAAATTTAGCCACAAAAAAACAACAACATTTTTCCAGTTAAATCACTACAGTTGGAACCTCTCGTAACCGCAACCACTTTTTAGGATGACGGTTTTAGAATTTTTCTTTGTTCTTAACCTCTTGTAAGCGACCACTTGACGCATGGTTTAAGTCTATGTTCGCTGTATGTGCAACACTAATCAGAGTATACGATAAACTTTTAGTGACAAGATCGAACTACACATATTGTACCTTAGAAATTTCCTGCAATTAATTCTTCCACAACGTCTGTGTTTAAAGCCCTTCTCGGAGGAGACCCCCTATGGTTCGCCTCTCGGAAGCGACTACCTCCCATAGGTGACAACTGAATCTTTGCATTTTGGACGGTTATTTACTGCTGGAAGTAGCTGCAAGTGAAGGCTATGAACCCATCCACTACACAAATCCGGCATCTATAGATTCTGTTCTCAAACGGCAAAGCTTCAAACAACTTCATGACAAGCTTTGCACGAGCTCTCTGCATGGCGACCGCGTGAATAGCTTCCTTCAATTACTACACCAGATATCCAAATTCACAATAATTTCGATGGTTGCATTGAAAAATTATCTTTGTTAACATTATCTGCGATTTTTTTTCTCTGTCAAGCAGAGTACAGAGCGAGAATCCTGATGAGTTGTTAGGTGTTCACCGTAATTTTTTCTTTTCACTGTGTTCTCGTTGACCAAATGTGACAGTTTTGATAGATGTGTGACAAATGAGAACCGGAAGCCCCTTGTCTCTTCCGGTTGGCCTTGGAAAAGTCGGGAAGATTTATTGATGTTTTCTGGACGTCGGTTTTTCAGTAACAAAACAGTTATACCTCACGCTTGTTGAATATGATTGATTATGGCCAAATCGGCTAGGGCCTCGTTGGCTATCTACGAGTGGTCCACTTACAAAGAACACCTAAGTGGCTACACTAACTTGCGATTTTGTAAGTACACTTCAGTGTCGTTTTTGCAAAAAGAAACGCGGGTGCAGGCCCCATATCTTCACTGAAGTTAATGAGCTTTTTTGGGAGGGGGAAAAGTGGAAGAGAAGGCTTTTTGCTTTATTTAATACTTGTGATGCACTTTGTTAACCACCCACTCACTTCACGTTTTCTGAAAAACGCCGTTGAGAAAATGGACAACACTGTAAAATAAATAAATAATAATAATTTAGAGGTAGCACATGCACGAAGTGGTTCTTCGTCTACTTGATTCCTGGTCGAATTGGAATTTGGAAATGTTGGTTTTTGAGAAGGGAGGAAAACTGGAGTACCCGGAGAAAAACTCCTTGGAGGAAAGGAGAGAACCAACAACAAACTCAACCCACATATGGCTTCGACACTGGGATTTGAACCCGGGCCACAATGGTGGGAGGTGAGTGCTCTCACCACTGCGCCATCCCTTGCTCCTCAAAATAACCATAACATACTGTATTTCAACGCATGTCAACAAACTTGAAGAGTTCCACTCATTTAGATGTATTAAATCAATTTTTGATACCTAACACCATCCGTATTGAGCCAGTGATATTATCAGTTTAAATGGATTGCAACAATTACGAAAGAGGTCAGCACTCAATTTTTGTCAAACATATTCGGTTTCATTGCTGTCTTCGTACACTCCTCGGTAAGGTTGTTGTCGCTGGTAGTTTCCCCGATTCATTTAACAGAAGCTGAAAAGTATTTGAAACTACTACATTTTCCCTACACTTTTTGATAGTTAACTTTGAAAACGGTGAGGCATTGATAACGTAGCTCTTATAATAAAAATTTAGGATACACGGGTCCAACCTTAGGGCAATTCTCTGAATCTTTTAGAATCTTTTAAAGTAGTCGTATTGTCGTTATTTAGGATGCATTTGTATTATCTGCTCAGAGTGAGCTTATGAAATGCTCCAGTACGTAGTATATGATCAATTGTTGCTGTCTTAAGACTGAATGCACTCTTCATTTTCTGTAAAATGATATTTTTTCATATTTTTCCACGAAACTATAAAAACATTGATTTCGTGTGTTTGTGGCATACATTAACGCGTACCCTCCGCGATCAGTTTAAACAACATGTTAATAAATAAACCTAGCGTATAAAACCATTTTACGCTATTTTAAAGCAGCTGACCATTGCTGCGATGCATTTCTTCTTTCATAAGTAAAACCGTGTGTTGGAAATCAAGCCAAAGAAATTCGTTGCTTTGGAAAAAAATCAGGAACAGTAACTTTTGGTGTTGAGTCTCACAGCCTTTAAAAGTCAAGAAAATCTACCGCTGAAAAACCTACAACTGAAAACCTGCGTAGTTAACGTGCGACTTTTGTCATGGAGAACGTTTTTAGTGGGAAAGTATAGTATTTAACAACGAAATGGCTTTCAAAAGGACTGTAATTTTGCGGAGTTTTTAATTTCCCGCCATCAGATTTGATGCGCTCAAACATTTGTCGTTCAGCGGATGCACGCATACGCATGCATGCTCTGAGCAAGAACACCATCTAAACAAGCAGAGGGCTGGCAGCCGTTTCGTCAGCTTCGCCTGCAGCTTAGGTGGATGGTAAACTCTGCCCGCCGTTTCAAACCATTGTTAGAAAGATATTTTTCTTTCGATTTCTTTCCAATTCTTGACAGATCATCTACAGTAAGAAAATACAACAATAACAACAACGTAACGGCAGAAGAAAACTTTCTTATTTAAATTTTCCTGCCTAAGCAAGGTGAGATCCCGCCAACTACCAGGTCAAATGAGGCCACCTGAAGAGAATACAGAGCTCTTTGTTAAGGAATGTTAGCATTTGAGTCAGTTTATTTCACAGACAACATGCATTTCAAGTGTCATTTATTCATGATAATTTTTAATAAACAAACAGACATGCATGGCGGCCATATCATGTTGTGACCAGTGTTGATTTTCAAAATTACGTTGGAAATCGTATCTCTGCAATAAATTTGGTCAACAGCACATTGGTATTTCCGACAAGAGTAATCACTATATAAAAGTAGACAAAGCGGGGGTGAGTTTCGCCACCGTCTTTCGTTCAAGAATTTTCACATTTTTCTGTACCTACTTACCACTTTTTGTAAGATGAGCTTTTTGGCACATTCTCTTTGCTCTTGATTACCACTGATTGTAAACCCTTCCTCCTCCTTGCTCTGTGTACTAACTGTTGCTCCCGACTTATCCATGATTTCGTTTATCACACGGCGACCCCTTCCAATGACGTACCCCTTCAAATCTCTTGCGACTTTAACAAACTCACTCTTCTGACTTTTGTCCATGAAATCAGTGTAAGGTAAGCTGAAAAGCCAGAATACAAATGTCTTTTTCAAAAGACGGATTTTATCTGAAGATTTTTTTGTTCAGCAAATTTACAATTCTCTTACGTATTCTTAGTGCTTTAAGTATTGATGTGGCTCTCTAATATAGGGGATCGTTTACTTTTTTAATTACCTGCTGAAAGAACTATTATCCAGCACATCGTTTTATTTATAACTGCTTCTTATTATAAATGTGATAAAAGTACATCCTCTCACTTCTTAAGCCCCATAAACTACATTATTATTCATTTAAAATATTTCCCCGTTTCTGATTGGCTAAAACCACACGCATAATTCACCATAACCAGCTACTGTTGACCAAATTTGGCAAGAATTTTGTCGTATTGAACCGATGACGTCAAAATAACGTCAAAAGTGCAGCCTGGTTGCTGGTTGTTGAACCGTTAACCGAGAAAACCCGGGGACGAGGTTCAGTTGTTTACGTAGTGTGAACAAAATGGCTGAACAGTTGGCAGAACATTTTACTCGTTTCGCGGCGAAATATTGTCTATAAACATGGTAAGAACAACATGAAGACGGACGACATCTGCTATTTGAAGTATATTTGTAGACCTGAACAGGTCTTTATCTACTAAACTTCGCTATAAAGATGCATTTTCGATATGAACTTACATCGACCTAGGTTAGCATTTTTTAGCTTGTTTTTAAACTTGGAATTTTTTTGAAGGAATAGTTAAACAATTATTGAATTCGGCTTTTGTAGGATATGAACAATTCTGCAGATCTCGGAGGGTGTTATCCACTATCCTTGATCTGCAGAATTCTTCATATCCTACTCAGCCTCATTCAATAATTTCTAACTAATGACATACCGTTTTTAGTCTTGTGCAAGAAGTGAGTTTACAGTTTTTTTAAAATAGTGTAATTATGTCTAGCAATTGTGTTGATAGGAGATGCATCATGAGATGGAGGTCCTGTTCCATTTAATAGATCCCAACGAAATCAAGAAATCATTGAAAGTGACATGAACAAAGCGTCAAATATGAGTGTTCACTTGCGCTGGAATGTACACCCGGGATGGAGAAAAGTGGTAACAGTGTGAAATAAAACAGAGCTTCAGAAAATTCTTTAACTAAAAATATTCATGTTTAAAACCCTCAAAAAAAGATCATTGCAGACTAATGTTTGGTAACGTTGAAGTGACTGAGTTGACGAGTTTTAAGGACGTAGATACATGCCCACTACGCAAATATACGTCCCGCTAAGTATGAAAAGAAACCCAATTGTATATTCCTCGTTCAAAAAAGTGCCCGAACGCCGCACCAAAAGTTACAAATTCAAGTCCCACTATTGTGTAACAAGCAAACTTTTGTACTACGTAGTGGTACCACGCTGAGTGCGGAACGAAGTCGATGCCTCGAAGACATTTTAGCCGCTAGGTTTATCTGCAATCACCACAGTCTCAGCTGACTCAGGGACAAAATGATGTACATTAAAACAAATAGGCTCCTTACACTTACTAATAGTCGTTATCATGGCTAATTATATCACAGAAATGGGAAAGCTCGCAGAAATCGAGGTGTTTAATTGTGTTAAAAAGCAACAGTGGTTGATGCATCGACCAAAATATAACTTACCTGCCTTGCTGTCGATCATAACCGTTGCTGGCCATAATTTAATACTAGATGTAGTTAAGAACTATTGCTCCATTTGAGAAAGAAACGATTAAGAGGAGCAATAGTGAGGAGAAGTCCCGGAAAAAGCTAAGTGAAGTACTTCCGTAATGCAAAAGAGAAACTAACAGCCTTTGCTCGGACCACGTGACCCGAAACGCATGGGCAACGGGTAATGCGTCCATGTAAGACGCACCAGGCGTCTCGAATGCAGAAAATCATCTGCTGTAGTTAACACAAAACAACACACGTTTCACCGGTAGTTTCGAAAACGAAGCACTCGAAAATGAAGACCGAAGCACGAAGCACCCAAATCTCGAAAGCGAAACACCCAAAACTCGGAAACGGAGCACTTAAGACTCGAAAAGGAAGCACCCAAAACTCGAAACGAAGCACCCAAAACTCCAAAATGAAGCACCCAAATCTCTAAACCACTGTAGGTTGAAGGACTACAACTTAAATGTCTTGCACGGCGCAAGCCAAACGAGGTGGAGGCAACCGATGCGTCCGCACCTCCAAAGGTCCACCAATCCATTCCATGGTTTTATTTTAAGCCCGCGAACTGTTTAACTGAACGTTTCTAGATAGCAAGCAGTCTTGTATTATTAGTCTCGCGGTACTTGATACATCTTATCTTAATATGCATTTTTTCGGTACACGCGCTTGTTTATTACGACATATTGGGTGTCTATGACACTGCGTGTATGATGCCCTGATCAGACCGAGGAAGAAAACGGGTAATTAGGGCCTGGGACGAACCAGGCTCTAAAATAAAGGGAGCAAAAAAAATCAAAGGCTCCTTGGAGCGAGCTCATGGATGAATTGAATCGTAAACGAGCATGAGTGCAAAGTGCCACTGCTCTTGAATTTCGTGATCGAGTTTCGTTATTGCTGACAACCGAATGTTGAAGATTATCACCTCTGTATTTATAGTAACTAGAAGGCTTGAGAAACGTTCCGTTTTGAAATTCATTTGTTTTAAACTGCTTGGGCACTGTAACATATTCACTTTCCTCCTTAGTTTTTTTATATTTCATGACTTTCTCGGTGTGTTGGTTACTTGATAGATCATGTTTACATTCTTTAGCATTTGGTTTTTGGCATCTGATTTTTGGCATACAGTGTCGGTTTTGAAAAGCATTTCGTATTTCGTCAGCATTTCTTCGGTAACTTTTTGGCATCTCTATAGTACTCACGCTTATCCTTGCCCGAAGCTGTACGTGTTCTGACCTTAGGAATCCAAACCCGACACAGTCGAAATATCCGATTGCATGTGCACCTGAATATTCTAGAAACTTGTTATCAGCGCAGCATTAAAAGCTTTTGTAAAGCTTTTTTCTTGTAAAATAATTTGCTTTCTTAGGTGAACGTCAACGTCGCTTTGCAATTCGAGGATCTTCTCTTTGCAGCTAAGGCTCTTTGGCTTATTCGCTTTTCGCTAACCGAAATCCGTCGTCAGGCTTCGATAGCTCTTTCACACTCCTGTCGATCGCATCTTCTCCAATTCAAGTAATATCGGGAACAAATCTGCACAATTCGTCCAAATATACAACAATGATCCACGCTCAATTATTTCAACGTTCTTTTAACAATTCCAAGTCCATTCCATGCAGATGCTATCAGTGTTGTTTAGAATATTTCCATTTATACAGAACCCATCTTCGGCTGGCTACTCTTTTGTGTCGGGAAAAAATGTACGCCTTACTGGTACCCTCTAGAATATGCCAAATATATGCGTAAAAGGCACTTGAAACAAAAGTAATACTAAGTAAGTGAAGTAAGAGTAAAGTGTTTAATTTGACTTTAATAAATAAATTAATGAGAATCGAGTGAGTGAGTGCATGAGTGAGTGAGTGATCGAGTGTCATTCGAGTGCCTCCAAAAGCCCATGGCATGACTACGTCATCCATGGGCTAAAAATGGAAAGTTAATCTATTGGGGAGAAGGGAGAAGGCGGCCGGTGGGGCGAAGACTGGAGACATGCTTTTTATGCCGCCGATCCACCATTAACTACACTAATCTGCAAATGGGCTTTAACGTGGAATGGAATAGAAAAGGCTCATCATTCGTTCGGGGATTTGCTGTAAGTTTTGGGGTTCGCAATTAGCAATGTCCATCGATGTAGTGCGATAGATGTAGTGCGACCCATACCTTAGTCAGGGTAGCCTAAGTGTAGCCGAACCCTCCTCCCGACAAAAGAGAAACCATATAAACTCTTTAAAATATTTTTCAGTTTTCCTCCTAAGCTGTAAAATTCGTCATGCACCTACTACCTGGAAAGAACTAATTCGAAAATCACTATGTTTGCCTATTTTCAGGAATATCACAGAAATCTCGAAAAAAATTAAGAGTCTATTTGGGGTACGCTGTCACAAAATTATAGACGTTTCAAAATGTTTATGGATCAATGCTAACTAAACGTTGTGTTGCCTTTCGGTAAATTGTCGTCCTTTTGCCTCAGAAGTGGTATTTTGAGCCATTTTGGAGGATTTTTAGTTCGCTGTTTACTGTTCTTTCTATTACGAGGAACAGTAAACAGCCAACTCAAAATCCTTCATAATGTTCTCAAAATACCACTTCTGAGGCAAAAAGACGACAATTTATCAATGCTCACCTCAGTTTATCAAACTTTCAACTTTTCATATTCAACTGCTATTCTCTTTCTTGTAAAAAGTGAACTTACACTGTAGCTTCTGTTGCCGTTTGATAATGGAATGAAAACAAAAGAACAAAATCGACAAACGAAGGGCAAATCGATCGGCAAAGCAATGTATGCAGAGAGTACAAACGTACGCTCCGGTCTCTCTCAGAATTGCGTGGAATGCTTGGCATAAAAATAATTGTAAGCACGAAGTCTGGAATTGAATGACAGTCATTCTGTGTGCTCATTTCAGGCTAGAAAGAGCGCCTTTTCTTAAACTTACTTTTATTATTACCTGCTGCTTTGGAAGTACTTATATGCTCAAGTAACTTGGAAGTAACTTTTTTGCGTCAGCATGACTCCATGATAACTTTATTTTGGGTCAGAACAGAATATCTCGTGTCAATGACGCAAGAACGCAGTCTAGATTGAACACTGCTTAAGACGATGTTACACGAGACGATTCGCAACGAAGATTTTTAGCGCAACACAGCTTTGCAACATTGTTCCAATATTCTAACGATGTGTTGCGCTTAAAATCGTCGTTGCGAATCGACCGGTGAAACATCACCTTTGGATATTGGTTTTCGCCCTTCATTCTGTTTTGCCACTACCTTTAAAGGTGATGTTACAAGAGACGATTCGCAACGACGATTTTTCGAGCAACACCGCGTTGCAACATTATTGCGACATTGTTCCGAATAGTTACAACATTGTTCCAACATTACAACGCTGTGTTTCGCTAAAAATCGTCGTTGTGAATCGTCCCGTCTAAAATCACCTTTAGGGAAGCAAGGGTGGCGCAGTGGTGAGAGCACTCGCCATCCACCAATGTGGCCCGGGTTCAAATCCTGGTAAGTTTGTTGTTGGTTCTCTCCTTTGCTCCCAGAGGTTTTTCTGCAGGTACTCCAGTTTTCCCCTCTCTTAAAAAACCAACACTTCCAGATTCCCTATTCGATCTGGAACTCATCTACACGCCCCAGCAACTTCTTAAGAATTCCTAAGTGATCGGTGGGCAATCTCGTTCCCAGAGGCTGCATTCTTTCTTGACGTCAGCACCAAGGATCACTAACCTCTGGAAGAATCCGAAAACAAATCATCTCTGATTGCAAATAACTTTGCAAAATATGAAAAAATTGCGAGCATGAGACAGGTCATTTGTGTACACACCAATCTTATAAGACTTAAAACCATTAAGAAAAAAGTTTTATCTCGATAAGTCACGAAACCACGCTACAATGTCATTTTGTTCAAAAATTTGCCTGATTTTTGAAAGTCATTTTGAAGCCATACATTTTACTGAACTTTTCAAATCTGCATACAGCTGTGCCCATTCTTAGCACGAAAGAATGTATGTCGTCATGACTAACGAAAGTGCTAGTCGCTGGGTTAATTTTTTTTCTTCCACGAGTTACTTTCTTCAATAAATACATCGGTCAAGGGCCATGTGAAGAACAAAACTGCTTCGGAAAGAGTAAATTGCAACAATATGCAAGCAAAGCAAAATTCGCTGGGGAACGTCTCTTGGTCAAATGGGTGGGCCGGAAGCTCTAAGAACGGCTCACAGGATTGGTTTAGAAAACAATAGATAGCCCTAACCCAAACAAAACTAACAATGAACCCCAACTCTGAAACACTAGAGCTTTGGGCCAACAAGAACCTATCAAATTAGAGGTTCTAGAGAGAGTCTGGCCAACAGAGTTAAACGGGAATCAGGATTTTGTGGTTCCGGTTTCGGATTCTTCCAGAGCGTCGATCCGTTGCCCGTTCCGCTGGATGAAGGTCACGTAGGCTGTGGGTACCAGATTGCTCCGTGGGTAAACAATTATACAATTAAAACTAAAGCAACTGTATCATTCTATCGAATCCTGGCCCGTCACCCCGGTGTCCATTCCAAATTTGGGAGAATTTTGTGTCAGTAACGAGGAAATGACGACAAAAATGCAGCCAGGTACAGGTTAAGGCACCGTTACCGAGAAGACCTGAGAACGGGTTGAGTTGTTTTGGATGTGAAAAAAAAATGGCGGACTTTTCAGTCGTTTCAAGAGTAAGAACTACAGCTGGAACTAGGCGAAATAATACCTACAAACATGGCAAAAACAGAAAGAAGACAACTCGGAAGGCGACATCTTGTATTTGGAGAATATTTGCGGCGCTGGACAAACCTAAACGTACACTATCGAAGATGAACTTAACATCGATGCAGGTAAGCATGTTTTAGCTACGTTTTTATACTAGGAATTATTTTGAATGAATAATAAAGCAATTAATGAATTCGGCTTTCGTAGGATATGAAGAATTAGGCAAGGCGAGAGGGCGTTATCCACCGAGGCCTTATAACACCCTCCTCAATCGGTGGATAACACACTCTTCGATCTGCTTAATTCTTCATATCCTACTCAGCCTCACTCATTAATTGCTAACTAATAAATGTACTCTTTAGCCTTGTTTTAAAGGAAGCCATCGACCTGGATCCGAAATGGAGTTGATAACTTTGTTTTCAAGCAAGTTAACACAAACTTGGATCCTTGATACATTAAGAAGGTTTAACAACCTCAACGTGGTTGTTCGAAAAGTGGATAGGTGGTAGGCACGAGACAAAATTTCTAATATTGTAAGAATGGATTATTTTAAGAAAAGTTGTTATAAAACCTTGGTAACAAGAATGAAATGTTGAAAGAATACATAAATTGATCTAGTTGCAGCAAATGTTTAATTTCTTTAAGATGGGATTTGTATGACTGTAGATATGTAATTCTAATAACGCGCTTTAGCAGAATAATGAGACGGCGGAGATTAGTTAACTACATCAAAGCGCAAATTTCCAACTTAGTTCTATACTTGATGGAAGCATTGACTATCCATACGTATTTAAATATGACAATCCATTTGTTTTTTACTTGGTCTAATTGAAGACCATGAATTTAGTCTCAAATTTAGACATGTTTTATTTATTTACAATTTCATAGGTATACTTTTGAAAAGGCACCAGCGCTCATAGGCCTTGTACCTCAGAATCTCTAGAACCGTTCAAACGTTTTGATCACTCCCTTACCATGATCGCTTGAGTGATTCAAGCTAAGGTTCCAAGGGTTCTAAGGGAAGCGATAGAGGAGCGGTGACCCTCCTTGAACTAGTTTATGTGATCCATTGTCGAGGGTAAGATTAGGAGAAGTGCGGTGGTTTTGACGACCGTCTGGGGTGGCCACCAAACGGTTTATGTGAACCATTGCCGTTGGAATGGTATAGGGCATTGGGGTGGAATACTTATACTACGTGTTACTAGGTTATGGGTTTTGTTTTTCACTGAAGTGTCCTAGTAGTTTCTCTAGTACGCAATCTTTTAAGCATTATATTTATAAAACTATGTGCACCACTCTGGTTAATACTTATGAGGTGGAACGATCTTACACTTAGACATTAGTGATGATCTGTCCCTGTCACAGGTCGAAGTGACCGTACCTACCACATCCACTTTCTTGTACTTTGTTATTAACTTTCGTTGTTAACGTACATCTAGGGTTTTAATTACTGTAATTTTTTTCAAGGGTAAATTAGCTATTTAACAGCACTGAAATTGAAATTGTAATTGTAAGTAACAACAGAACGGTGCCTTGCATTGGTCTAGGGTCTAGTTTGCACTTGCCCTTCTAATTATTCGTCTTCTTGTAACTTCTATCATGATTGTATTCTTGCTCCAAGAAAGTATATATATATATAAAAAAGGATAAACCCTCGCCAAAGGACGCAAGAGCACCACCGGGTAGGGATCGCCTACATTGAATTAAATTCAAGAAGGTTTTCTTTTTTTGAGAACACCTGGGAAGATGTTCTTGATTGTTGCGAAACAGTTATGGAAATCAGACAGGGAAGATCTCACCGTGGCACCAACTTGAGACCAGGTAGAGAAAGAAGGAAAAGGGGGTTCTTGAGGAAGCAGTGCAAAAATTCGATCCCCGACTGCGGTAGTCTTTGCCTATAACACAGCCATCAGCCAAAAGATACGTACTTAAACTCGCGTCAACCAAAGCGCCTAGAAATATGCCTGTAACACCAGTGATTATGCTCGAGCCTAAAATTCCTCCTCGGATAGAAACCATGTTGCGAATAAATAGACAATGGGAACTTGACTAATCCTAACAAACCAGTCCTAAGGCATTTTGGACTTTATTATTTGTACCTTATTAAGAACAAGAATGGATTGATTATACACATGCAGCAAGAAACTCGTATGGCACTCAAACCAACATGAGTTACTCAAAGTGTGAACTCTGACTTCAAGATCTTGAGGCCATCAAGCCAACGTCTCGTGTACCCTGACTGCACTGTGTTTACTAGAAAGTGTCCCTCCTTCTGCCCTAGGGAGAGTGTGCATTGGCATAAGAAGTGTATTTGCGATCTCGTTATTGCTGACTACGAAGTGTGTGAGGGAGGAAAACACGTGTTCTGCACACAAGCAAAGATCGGTAAGGAATCCATTCGGACCAAAACTCCTATGTGTACAGTGACTTACGGATAAAGGACTAAACTGTTAGATATGGGCTTGATAAACCCAGCAGGAAAATGGATAAGCACCTGTTCTGACAAACTGAAATCATTTTTAATGCTCAATTGTTTGGATAACAAGCCAGTCAAAATTAAAACGATTTGCCTGCCAATAAAAACATTCGATTCATATATTTCTGTATTTGGGTACATCTACTTTAGTATGTTATACATATATATACCTAGGTAAGAACTATTTCGAAGTTTAGGTTGCGATGCCGAAACAGTTACTTAAACTTGAATGTCTTTTTTTTAAAGGGTGACAAAATATAAACTTTGATAATTATATAGCAGGAAAAATTTTTATCAATTGTCATTTCATCAATGCAACTTTGACTTATAACAAGAATTATCAGTCAATAGTGGCTTCCAATAATCTTTGGACAAGCTTTGGCACGCTGCATTTTTCACGGATTGTTCTCTTCTGCTGCGCTAGCCATTTAGCGACATAACTCTGGTTTGTTCCATCTTGAGAGATAGCCAGGAAGTCGGCCCTAACGTCTGGGAGAACTGCATTGAAGATTTGGCAGATAGACTTCATGCCCTGTGCTTCCTTGTTCATCACTTTGTAATAAAGCTGTTTAGGACTGCTCTGGGATTTCTCGGCTTTGCATTCAAGCTTGCGCAATTCCTGTTCCATTGCTGAGAAGGATCCTGCTCCCTTTCTTAGGTCATCTATAAGTTTTTCAAGAGCGAAGATTAGGATTTCAACGACTGTGATTGACGCCACTTCTGAAATTTGTGCTTGCTTGCCCATAGCAACTACCTCTGCCAAATCCGAATCTGCTCCGGCTGTCAGCAAGGGACTTGCAATCAGGTTAACATCCGGAGTCCAACGAAGTCCCAATGCCCATCTGCGTTTGGTTTTTGCTGCCGCCTCCAAGTCATTTCTCTGCGTTTCATATTCTTCTCTAAGATCTCTAAACTCCGTGATCATGAGCATTGCTTGGTCTTTCCTCTGCTTAAGAGGCACCAGGATGTCTTCATGCATCTTCAGCAGTGCTTCGCAGAGTTGTCTGTAGCCAACTGTGTCTGCAAGGATGTCTGCGATCATGTCACACCATTGGTCCAAATCCAGTGCTTCATAATACTCAAAGTAATCGCTTATTAAAGTCACGAACTTGGAGAAAATTGGAAGGATGCCTTTGAGATAAACTATGGCGTCGTCTCTTGACTCGTCACGTAGTTTCCTCAATATTTTTGCAAGGTCGACATTGGTGCCAACGGCTTTCTCTGCATAAAGGGACTTCATTGTAAGGGAGAAGATACGCATATCAACGGACATTTCCTTTATTTTCCATCCAAGCGCCTTCACTTCAGCTCTTGTCTTTTCTTCAATGGCGCCCATCTGTGTTTTTAAATCTAAAATTGTGGTTAGAAAATTTCACAGTGAGACCTCATATAACGTTAAACAGTTATTGCGTTCGCAAATACGCATACTAGGCAGCAGTTAGAACGCGTGTATAAACCTAAGTAACTTAAAGATTCGTAACAAAACAGGCCTTTCAAATTACGTCGACGAAGAAGACACGAGCTAAAATGGTATTGGGTGTGAACACTTGTGACTGGTGCAAGTGGAAATGGCAAAAAAGATCTTTTCCAAATCTGTTCTTTCTTGAAACGTCAGAATAATATCCAGCATGTCTGGTGTTTCAGTGGATATCTAAAGGACGATTTTTCCTTCGTGTTGGTAATGGCCACGAGTCACCTTTTAGACACGGCTAAGCGGAGGCACTGCAGATTCAGCACCACTGAAATGTGAAAAAATGGCCATGTATCTTAATCTTTTGTCGTTTTCTCCATTTTAAATTAAGTTTGTGTAATTTAAGTAACGTGAACATTGTATCAGTCACTGCAGTTAATTTCCTGAAAGCCAAAGTGTTTGGTTATTTTAGAAGAGACTAAAAGGGGACGTTCATTTATTGATTGATCAATAATGTCATTGTTTATTTCTACTTGTATAGATAATGGCCTTATTTGGAAAGATGACGTGTGACTTTTACGTGTAACTTTTGAGAAAGCAATAAACACCAACTTCTCTGTCAATTAAATCACTGTACCGTAATGTAATTACGCAAGGTCGCTAGGCGTTGTTACGAGCGTTCTGCGAAAACCTGCGGGCGTTGTGGCTCTGCTTGCCACGCCGGGTGACATATTTTTACAATTCTTGGAGTCTAAACCAATATAATCCGGGGTGGGATTTCCATCCAGCTCATTCTTCAACTATCCCAAGAACTTGCCACGCGTTAGAGGGGACTGTCTAGTCTTGGGGTGTAGATCACGAAATTCGCATCCATGTACCGTACGCGGTCTTGCAGAGGCACCAGTCTCATTCAATAGAGATGTCATCTAGCCTCTGCAGTGATAACGGTATCCACAAAGAGGCTGGACCTCATCGACCTACGAATGGTCGAGTCAAGCATTTCGTCCCCAGCCAGTAAAAGGCGATGGAAGACTATGGTATCGTCTTCATCGTCTGGCTAAACTTGCCCCAAAAACTGTTGGCCATGAGTTTTCAGAGGTTGCGGCGGCCAGAATTTTTTCGATGCGGTCAGCATGGAGCTCGGGATCTTCTCCAATTTGTCGGGAGGGCCAGCCATCAGATTGTACTTTGCCTTTAATGGTTGTGTTCTCGACTCTCGCATGGTATAAAATCCCACATCTCGTGATACCTTTCCTCGAGGGCCAACTTGAGTTCCTCGCTCCATCATGTGCATTGTCGCTCTTTTTCTGGGTTGGGGCATTTGCAGGACACTGTTCGTTCCAGGGATGTTGTAGCTGCTCGTCCACGGACATTGGGCAGAAGGCAAACGCCAGCTTGTTGGTTTTACGCATTAATAGAACGAGCTCGAACAGGTCACGATGGGGTTGAACGCGGCACTGGGCCAGACCATAGGTCATGACCACCACTTGCGCCCACTTCTCCAATGAGCTGGCGTGAAACTCCGTCTCAATGATGGGATGACCGACCGGGAAAGGTTTGGTCTTTCTGAATCGTGATAGTGAATCTCTTCCCTTCCACCATTTGTTAATAATCGTATGGGTTTGTGCGGCCCCCGAGATAGGTGTCGAGAGGATCCAGCTGTGTGGTTCGTCATCCCAGGCATGGTGGACACCAGCATCGCGTTGCGTGCTTAGTGTCCCGATGCGACTCGCATTCCCACTTTTGCTGGCTGAGTTAGCCCTGACATGTTTGTGCCTTCATTACGCAGCGTCTAGCTACATGAAATATCGTTGGGTGCAAAGGTCTTTCCCCATGAACGGATTCGTAAAAAAATATTTGGCAACGCTAACGGTGCGACTCCAGCTTAAATAAACAGGTGAGTGATTTAAACGGTCTTCGATCCCTTCAGAACAAATGGGTTATTCTCTTAAAAAACTGTGATGTTGGGTCGGTACCTGTTTGAGGCACAAAAATGTGGTTTTACGTCCCAAGTTAGTAGAGTAAATTGGCTAACATTAAGAGTTAATCCTTAAAGATTGTTTATCACAAGAAAAAAGCGTAAAACCTTCGATCCTTAGGATCGAGCTCCGTCAAGCATGCCTTTCATAATAGGTTTTATTTTCCTTAGGCTCAGCATTAAGAACTGGAAAAGGCATTGTCCTTTGAAACGCTTGTTCTGCTCGACTCTGGCCACTAAGAGACACCGATGGCCATGTAAAAAGACGGTTGGCGTGCTAGCAAACTTTTTTCGCGCCTTTGAAGTGATTTGTCTTGTCTGCGTTTCTTCTTATTTGGAGGATTTAAAGAGTTGCCTAAGCGGATCTTTCTGTTATAGGTACTACCTTTTACCTGGAGGAAAGCTTATTTTTAGTGTTTATGATTTTCTCATGAAGTTTTTTTGCTTATGATTTGATCTCTGAGCGTTTTATACATGGTTAACTTCGATATTATACTCCGATAAACACTGATCATACTACCAACTATCATTCTTTTTCAAGGTCATATTCTCGAAAATGTAATATTATGCTTGGCAAATTTTAGTAGACCCATCAGTCTTCAGGTTTTAAGAAAAAAAATGACTGTTACTTTATTTGAAACACGAAAAGTTGCAGTTTCCACTGTTATTATTATCCTCTTGCGTTTCCTGAGCTTTAACGGGAATAAACTCCTTTTGACGAAATAACAAATAGAGCATTGTCAAATGCTTGTAACAAATACCTCATTACATTATACTACTGTTCTCAGCAAATAAACAAATAATTTAACCAATAAATTATAAAACAAATAAAACTATCCTCTTTACCTATCGTCTGGGTTTACTGAAAAAATATAAAATGCTTTCTCAGAATATGTTATTTAATTTTTAGAGAAATTTTACATTTATCAAAACGTTTGTGTTATTTTATTCAGTTGATTACTATTAATTGCTGTACATTCGGGACAATATAAATAGGATAATGACCGAGCGCCTAGTGCTTCTGTCCGTGGAAGCACGAAAGTCTGAACTGGATGCCTAAGTAAACTTCCTTTAGAAAAACTGAAGTAACTACAACAATGGACAAACCTTTAACAACTGTGTTTGAGATAATTCCCCACAGTCTTCTCTTAGAGGCGTGCAATTGTAAAATGGCTCAGTTTTGTTTTTTGTAATGAATATTAAGGGAGTTAGACCTTCTCGTCTGCTCCCCCGCATACCGACAGCATATCACCTTTTTCTACCGAACTAATGGTTCAGTTGCTTACCTGTCATTTTTTCCAAATCTTTAAAATGATAGGCTTGCTTAAAATAGAACAAAAAATGTTTGACAACTGAGATATTTATCAGACAGGTTTTAAGTTTGTCTTTCTCCTTTGATACGTCGATAGGTTACAAGCTGACAAACTAAGGATTATTAAAGATCATTGATGGCCGGATTCTTTCAGACAAATAATTCATGAGGAACTTGACATACTGGAGTGCTTTCCTTGAATTATTTTTCCAGAAAAGAACATGACTGAAACTTAATATGGAAAACGAAATGTTGCAGTTTCAAAGAATATTAAGATGCTTTTGTGCTTGAGTTTTTGTGGCAATAGTTTTTCGAAGCTACTGATTGGAATGACTATCAGTATTTAATGGAACTAATTACATGATATAATAGCCTGCGTAAGCCTGCGTGGCAAGCGCTTGGAAGTAGTGGGCGTTCTTTCTCGCGCCCAGTACTTCCAAGCGCCTGCTTCGCAGGCTAATGATTTAGTGATGATAATGGCCGTTTTAACACTAGAGGCGGATAAGCCTTCTTCAAAATCCGTCAAACTTGACGGAAGAACAGATGGATAAGTCAGGCGGATTGTCCGTCCAACATTAACACCGTCCCATTATCTGTCTGACGCGAATTATAAAACGGATAACGAATGACAATCCGTACTCTAGTGTGAATACGGCCAATAAGCGAATGCAATCAACCACCACAGCTTCCACAAAACATATCTGAATAGGGAGATTTATGATTAGCTATTGGAAAAATTTCCGTATAACGATCTATAACATAACCCCATGCATTAATTATGCATACACCTATTGAAGGAAATCAAAAGTCAGAATAATACTAAGCCTTTAGGATTTCAACTGTTATTTTAAAAATGTTCAATTTTTTTTCACGTCTAAAATAAGAACTTTTTGAAACAAATTTCAAATTATTTTCGGTTTCTTAAACCTAACTTTAAAAATGACCCCCAAAATAGTGATAAACGACCTAATTAGTAGCGTTCAACATTAAATGTGCTAAACTATCCATTGATCGTAACACGAGGATAAACAACTTGAAATGCAAGTTTAACTTGTTAGCCGTGTTCGTCAGAAATGTCTTTTTTTCTCCAACTATTGTTTCCACGGTTTCCAGTGGCCGATTGTCAGTTAAAGTTGTTGAAGAAAAGATTTCTCAACAGGTTTCTGAAGTAATTATTCCTTTTCTTCCAAAATGCTCTTTTCCAATACTGTTTCGCTAAAATGGATGCTTCTTACGACATTGGTTGCAGTAAGCATAAAAAATCAGACCCAACTGCCACTCCCTTGATGGCTTACCGGTCGTTTCGAAGAAAGCCGTCTCGATACAAGTTGATTCAGTCCAGGTGTACATAATATCACATAGTTGGCTTATAGAACGGGGAATATTCACGCTATGTTTTCCTTGTCCAGTCACGCGCTAACAAAACTTTCAAGGGATAGAAATTGCTCTGCAGGTTCGTATCGATACAACTGGTTTCCCCTTGAGGAGTGCTCCGAAAATTCATTGTAGCTGTGTTTGGTACCGTGCGATATAATGTAATGCGTTGCTAGCTTCACAGACACACACACACACACCACTGGTAGCCATGCCAAGCCGACCACCGCAGCTTGACCTTTATTCCAAATTCATAAAACTGTACCCATAACATACCCCTAGTAAGGTGGGACACTAACAAAATTACAAAGTTGCACATTACATTTTTTCCCTACAAAACTGAAACCCTAGGGTGGGTGGGAAGGTCAGTAATGGAGGACGCAACAAAAGCAACTGCCCGCCTTTTGGTTACATGACCTATACTCAGGCCCCCAGCGGTGTGTGAGGAAAGCATTTTCCACATATTTCGTTACACTCGGCCAGTGTAAAATTACCCGTCTAACAGCTTTAAGTACCAGGCCCGGGTTGTTCAAACGTTGGATAGCGCTATCCAGCCGATAAATCACTATCCAGCGTATAACGCAATTGTTTCCCGTAATACGTATCTGCTGGATAATGATTTATTCGGTGGATAGCGCTATCCATCTTTTGAACAACCTGGGCCAGGATCTTATTTATTGTTACGGTTGGAAGGAGCCGATGAAAAGAACCTAACAGTCTGAAAATGACAATACCATCATGGTATGTTGTTGCATTTCAAGCATATTGTTAACCAAAACTGCAAGCAAAGACAAAATTCAAGGGTTTAATTTTAAAGAAACATGAAAAAAACAGCTCGTATGTTGCAGGAAATATCACACTCACAATGGCTATGTGCCAGTTTATTGGGTATAAAAGTGATCTTTACATATAAAGATTCCCTTGTAGATGGACACACGCGACACCCTTGTAAGCGACCTTACTTGAATGCAAAAACTAAAGCAGAAAACAGGTGGGAAAAGCCTTGCCTGCTTTTTTTTTCTATTACCTTAGTGAAAACAAACCACCTAAGAAACCGCCTAATTATCTAAAAGCCTTCGTGACATTATTTTCTAAAACTTCTAAGTGTTAAATAAAGACGAAGTTTTCATTTATTTATTCCGCTGTAACATGATAACACAAGATGACTGTGTCACGGCAGTCTTTCCGGCCAGTGATTCAGTTCTTCCTTTTCTTAGATTCCTGCAATTAAATTAGCTTCTATTAAGTGATGTTGAGGAATTTTCATTTCAGTTTGTTTCATCTGCTTTTATTCCTTATTCACCATTGGCAGTATTAATAACACAGAGGGACTAACCAAATACCAAAGAATTGAGAAAAAGGATACGTATACGTTTTCATGAAAGATTTCCTATAATTTTGAGAGAGTAACTGGCCAAAGTTAATGATCAGATTAATAACTTGCACAATTCTGAACTAAAAAAAAATTAACAAGAATATATAACTACCCTCTCCTCTTTGGGAGCTTTCAGGGATAATGAAAAAAAATTCAAATGGAACCCAACGTGATTAAGAGGTAGAAGTCGAACCAGTTGGTTATTTTACTAGCGTAGTGGAGTATTTGCACTCAGGACTACCGAGAACAAATCCAGCTACAATAGCAGTCAGACTAAGACTTGAACCAGGGGCCTTCAGATTCCAACTCCAGCACTCTAAACGCTCAGTCACCCTACCTCCTCTACTACCCTAATCATTACTTGCATAGGTCCTTATAACTATCTTAACTACTCTCTCTCTCTAGAATGAACCTTTCAATTGCAAAGTTTGACTGAAAGTTCTTGAGGTTGAGGGGGAGGTCTTGGACTCAAAATAATGTATGTGTGCATAGTTAGTGCTATGGTGTGAGAGACATGCGGTAGATCATGGTTTGTACAAAAAATGCCAATGAAAATTCAAGCACTTTCCAAAGGTTCTAAAGAATGACACAGAAACACAGGCAGTGGAAAATGAGAGCAAAACAACTGTCCTTTTACTGTAAGGCACATGGTGGGGTACTCTGGGGTACCTTTATTAATGTTGAAACAAGCCCAATATAAGTAATTATTAGCATTTTTCAATACGTATGTGTAATCAAATGGTGACGAGTGAAAATAGGGAATAATTTCACGAGCATACCATTTGCTGATTGCCTATTAATATCATGGGTGACAGATTAGGATTGCAATCATGGATTTTTGACATGTTTATCATGGTTTTATCGCATTGATCGGAGAACTCAAAAGCTTAGAGCTCAAATTTGGCTATAGTTCAGAATTTTCAGAATGTCTCAGCAAAATACCTGTTAGAAACCTTCTTGATGTGCTCTTTGGTGTGTTTAGGTTTTCAAAAGTGTCTTTTAATGCCCTGACATCTTCATTCATACCATTTTATATGTGAAATTATAAATTAGTATATAGGTAATAGCATGATTTGTAGTGATAATTGGCATAAATACCACGAGTGATATTTCAAAACTGTTATACGTAATTTCATGAGCCGTTAGGAGAGTGAAATTTGAGACAATTTTGAAATATCACTAGTGGTATTTATGCAAAATATCACGTACAAATCATGCTATTATTTGTTTATACTACTACCCGCAAAGGTTTTGTAATTTTCACATGTAGGTATTTCAAATTAAGTAGTGTAGTAATTCGTCACCCATGATATTAGACATAAAGTGTGATAAGGCATCAATGTTCATGTGACGTTGGGTGTTGAGTCATGCACTCGAAACAGGAAATTTGTACAGAAGTGACAATGAAATGTCTTAAATTGAAAGTACATGAACTTTCCTTCAAGACGTAAGATTCAGATTTATTCAAGAGCTTTTCAAGGACTTTTCAAGACAGCAGCTGAAATCCAAGAGCTTTACAAGAAGGTACAAACCATGATACATTTACATGAACATTTTTTTTTCTAGAATGACACTTTTGTTCAGAAGACAATGCAAACTGAAGCAGAAACATACCTTGTTTTGGGCAAGAATAATCATGATCCTGCGAAAAATCTGAATGAAGTCCAAAAACAAGTCCACAGAATGCCTTGAGGGAAAAGAAACATTTTTTTAAAATTACACAAAAAATGTAACACCTTATAAATATCAGAGATTAGGGAAAAATTCTGTTAGTCTTACTATGCATTATTAATTTTTGAATACTAGGCCCGGTTCTGAAAGGCTGATTAGCGCTAATTTAGGATTAAAATTTTGTTCCAAGTTTTGTCTTTACCTTCCTATGCCTGCTTAGAATGTCATTTCATGTTATGATTACTGTACATTGTATCTTTGAGTAAAGGCCACTCAGACTCGAGATCCACGTTCAATCGATACTTGAAAGCGCCTTTCCTTTTCAAGGACTTTGCTACCCTCTGGGGTTAATTTTTTTGCTTAAGGTACACAGAGAGAAACAAACTATTAAACAATTTAAATTTGCTTGTTTGGAATTGAATTAACTTGTAGCACACAGCTTTAACATTTTTTCACTTTAATCTCCAGGGCAGTGCAATCTCATTCCCAGAGTCTGCGTTACCCTTGTTCAGCAGGATGGGCAGGATTGGGAGCAGAGGTACTGGGTTCCATTACCGGCATCACCTAATTCTTTTTGCGAATTTAACAGATTCTTCAACCTTGTTCCCAGGGTTCTCTCCTACCCACCCTATGGAGCGTAGGGCGGGTAGGAGAGAACCCTGGGAACAAGGTTGCAGATTCTTTTCTCTTTCTTTTTTAACTTTTTCATGGTTACTGGAGTACATTATTCATAGCTAGTAAGCACATATCCTCTCAAGGTACTAGTTTTTTCTTGTTTCTTAATTCCTTCCTCCTGTGGGCAGAGATTACTGTAAATTTTTTCCACTGTAATCGTATGCCAGTTAAGATTGCTGGTGGAACCTGGATATAATGAAGGCCAACGGAGGTTCTTTCCATATATTTTACCATTACTGGGGTTAAAAAAATAGTTCATTATACCGAGGACTTCATAATATAGACGTTCATTGTATATCAAGGTTCCACTAGAAGAACACCAGCTATTACTCACCAAGCAAGCAAATACAAACGTAGCAGAATTAAAAAGCTATGATGGAGTTCTGGATCTTACCAGACAAAATCTTTGTCTCCTTGCTTGCGCTTGTGGACAATCAGCTGGGTGTCATACAGCACAAAGCCACAGAACAGAAGCAAACCACCATACAACTGAAGCTGTTAAGAAAATACAATGCACAGGCATTACATTCACCCCTCTCATGAGCTTCCATACTGAGCATGACAATCAAATGCAGTAAAACGCAACTTATATTTTTGCACCTTTCCATAAATAGTTTGGTTATGGCTAAATAGCCAGTTTGACCTCAGTCAAACATAGTCTAACAAGATGACTTGTCCTAACGTTTGAATTCTACAGAAAACTTTAGTACGCTAAACAAATAACACTTCACTATTGCATGTCTGTATTAGACCTGCTGGCCTCTTGGATGGACAAAGACTTGAAGAATAAATGGCACATCCTGGTGTAACTACCTGTAAACACCAAGGGGCAGCAGCAAGAACAAAATAAAATGGATCAATAAATAAGGCTCCAGGCACTGACTGACCAGTGCATTTTCTTTACCTGGAAAATGAAACGGGCTCCAATAAAGAGATTGACCAGGGACAGGCAAAACAGAATGCTCAAGCCAGACATCAATGTACCTAAAGAAGAAAAAAAAAGCTTATAGTTAATAAAGGTATGATTGATAGTTACATCTTTAGCATTACAACACAGTACACTCACCTCCCAGGTATAGATAAGTTCTTTGCTCAGCCCACAAGGCACTCAGAGTGAAGCAGACAAATATCAACGTTGTTGCAAAGAAAGCAGTGGGAATAATGCTGTAAAAATAAAACATCACTTTATGGTCAATGTAACTTAGAAGACTTTCAATAATGATGATGAGGATGACAATGATGATAATGGGTGAGATGTCCACTTTATAGTTTTTTAAAATTAATACACTGCAAACCCCATTAATGCAAACTTGCTATTTTATGCTTTCAAAGCACACATGAATTCAGCGTTTAATCTCACATTTGTTCTTTGGCTGTTCACCATGGAAAGAAAACAGCAATACTGGTTTTTGGTTTAATTTTATGAACAACATTTTTTTTTGTTTTCACTACTACATACTAGAGTCTTGAGAGTACTGTGGACAAGATTAACATAATGTTCATGTCGATGCACTGTACTGTAACATAACAAACAGTAAATCCCAAGGACACAATCATTTCCAGTATGCCGTATACATGTACTGTAAACACCAAGAAATTAAATTATGATTATACTAACCCAATGGAACTCATTAATAAACTACATGCATTTACTACATCAGAAACTTACTGACCTGGGATCAATCTGGATGACAAGATCCATCAGAGGACCAAGACCCAATCCTTAAATAGAATTGCAGCAATTATTATTTTTAAGCTGTTTACCAAGCCACATTGTACATATATATCTCATTACTGACAACACACTCACTTTTACGAAATTCAAGGCAAAGTGTAAATTAAAAATCTGCATGGTTAAACACTTGGCTTTGCTTTGAGTTTCAAGGAGCAGGTAGTTTTTTCTTCATGATCTTACCCACTTGACCACGTGAATTGTCGTTGTGCCTTCATTCACAAGTTTTTTTCTTGCTTGTGAATGAGTGAGAATGAGCAAAAGCTGTTCAAAAATTTTCTTCAGCTCTTCAGCCATTCAATGTCATCCAGCTAAAAGTTTTCTGTAGCTGTTCAGCCACTCATGATACCCCTTCCGATCAGCTTGTCTTCTTGTTTCTCGCCTGTTTGCTTGCTGTGCATCCAGCCATTCAAACGGGTACTATTGGAACATTTTTGCATGTAAGGTCACACATACTCTTGTTTTTCATGTATAAAATCGCTCAAATCTCTGGTATAAAAAACACACAAAGCCCACACAATTCCCTGATTTGTTCTGATGAAGGCGTTGGGCTTGAAACATATGTTACAGGTCAAACTTATATCAGGTTAAAATTTTTAACCTCGGTTGATTCTCAATTTCCTTTGTTTCCTAGCCCTGATTCATGAATAATTAGGACAAGGAGACAAAGGAAATTGAGATTCAACCTAGGTTAAAAAAAGGTTAAAAAAATTTCAACCTGAATTTAATTTTGACCTGTAACACATACTTGTAACAGCTTCCCTATCTACCTATGGTGGCCAATCTACCTTATTAAACTGTACTTCAGCTGGTAAAACCAAATCTTTGTATTTCACTCCTTACCAATGCAATACCATAGTTTCTTTAGAAACTAACACCTTCTAACATTAACTTATACAACTAAAGTACAGGCTTCAGTAGTTCAAACATTGGACAGCGCTATTCACTGGATAAAAAACCATCCCGCGAATAAGTACTAGGGAAACTAATATTGCATTATCCACTGGATAAATGATAGTGTCATCCAGCTTTTGAACAACTGGGGTCAGTACCTTACCTGTGCAAAATGCAAATCCCATGAGAAATCCTAAAAGAGCAAAAGCAAAAGGTGTTAATACATGTTGTATATACTTTCTCACTCCTGGGTATGCCCTAGATCAAGACCAGAAAGACTAAGTTTATTAAAATTATTTATGATTTAGTAGGTAAAAAGGTATTGTAGGGCTGTTTATTCAGAGCCTGCGGTTGATCTGGGGAGCATAATTACTTAACCTGTTTAATGCCAATAGTACCAGCAGTTAAAATCCAGAAAAAAACTACGTAAGTCAGGGCTTCTGATATTTCCCGGAAAACAAAGCAAAATTTCGCAGGATTTTCAGGGGCAAATTCGCGGAAAAATCGGCCGATTTCGCAGGAAAAAAGTCAAAATTCGCGAAACAATCGGCCCATTTCGGGCGATTTTTGCGAGAGAAAAGTCAAAATTCGCAGAAAAATCGGCCCACTTTGTGGGATTTTAGCAGAAAAAAGTCAATTTTTGAAGGATTTTCAGGGGCAAATTCTTAGGAAAATCGGCCGATTTCACAGGAAATTTTGGGGGGAAACTTTGCCTAGAAACAATCAGTAAAAAACAGCCAATTTTGCTGGGTTTTTTTTTGGCAAATTTTGCTAAAATCGATCAATTTTGCGTCGATATGACCAGCGTTGGTGAACATCTTTTTTAACAGGGATAATCATTAATTTTGCTCTTTCAACAACAGTTCGCTTGAGAAATGAGCGAATGTTAAAGCTATTAACATTATGGTTAGTGCCCAGTTTTTCACAACGTTCATCTAAAAACGCCTGGTAGTTTTGGGACGTTGTTTACTCGTTGCAGTGACGAAGTTTCAAGCTAAATTTGGATGTTTGGGGTGAATAAAACCAGTCTAATAGCCAAGATAAGAATTAAATATGTTTTGCTGACATGTATTCGGAAATAATTATTTCTGGCGAATTTCGCGGTATTTCGCGTTTTTTGGGGGAATTTCGCGGGATTTCGCGGAAATACCAGAATTTTGCGGGTCCGCGACCACGTGAAATATCAGAAGCCCTGATAAGTGGCATTTACTTAAAATGAGTGGTATAATGCCTAAGTATCGCTGGAGTGGATATCATTATGGTTAGATCACAATTATCAGTCTTTCTCAGACTGAAAACAACATTATCAAACTTTCTCTTGTCAATGGACTTAAAGTAGAAGTATATGAGAGTATTATCAGGCTCCCTCATAAATTTGATTTTTTTGAGATGAGGTGTGTAAAAGTAAGTAGTGTAAGTGGGATCTTTTGGCTGGAAAAAAATTCCTTTTTGTGACAAACCAAATAATCACTTACCCATTCTTTTTGACTGATTTTTTCCATCATGTGGAGTCATAGCAAGAGCAATCAGAAGCCCAATGGATGCAATGGCAGACAAAAAACCACCCTTCAAAAACAAAATTTCTATCAATACACATACTTTGTACATGAACGCTGCAGATGCAAACTCTGCTCTTTGCCTACGACAAGAAAAAGTATAGAGTACAGAGATCTGAAAATTGCATGATGTAATAAAATTCATTTTACTTACAATGGTACTTGACTAATGTAATTTCTCAGATTTACTGCCAAAGACCTACAGTGCACCCAGAGGGGATAGCAACAAATGGGTCCAATGCCTGGTGCCACGCCTACCCATTCCCCAACCCATCAAAGATACATGTACATGTACATGTAAAAACTGCCAGAGATTAGTACATTCCTAGTGGCTCTTCTACAATCTACAGATGCAAAAACTGTGAAAGGTGCTAGCTGTTGTTGTTGTTTTTTCGTACCGCACTCTAGCTAGCCTGTTCCAGCCACTCACATATTGGAAAGCAGAGTGAATTGAAACAGAGTGAAAAGAAATGAAAGGAAAGCAAGGAAAATAATAATAATAATAATAATAATAACTTTATTTCTATAGCGCTCTTATCCTATGTTCAAGGCGCTTTACAATCATGTAAACAACATTATTGAAAAATATTTACAAATTTACGACCATATCCTAATATATTTACAATGGATAAAAAAGGAAAAATTGAAACTAAAACAACTATTAAACCATATTCATAATGATAAAAAAAAGGGAAAAAATTAAAACTAACGCAATATATACAAATTTATAAACACAATGATCCGTTATCACAGAATTTAGTAAACAAGTACGTCTTAAGTGATCTTTTAAAACTCGAGATGGTGTTGGACTTCCGAATTTCATAGGGTATTAAGTTCCATTCTCTTGGTGCATGAACAGTGAATGCTCTATCTCCGTAGGTCTTGGTATACGATCTAGGTTGCATTAGAAGTTCATTACTAACAGACCTCAATGATCTAGAATGAGGACAATAAATAAATGTAGTTTTTGAGCTAAATAGCTAGGCGATGTCCCATTCAGTGATTTATACACGACGAGCAGAATCTTGAAAATAATACGATATTGAATCGGTAGCCAGTGAAGCGCACACAAAAGAGGTGTGATATGCTGAAACTTACTCACTTGCAACACAACTCTAGCCGCCGTGTTTTGTACATACTGCAATCTTTGTAACTGATACTTAGGTAGGCCGTATAATAATAGATTACAGTAATCTAGTTTCAATGTGACAAATGCATGAACAGCAACTTCTGCTGATTCTTTAGTGAAATACTTCCTAATTCTAGATAGGTTCCTGAGATGATAAAATGATGATCTACAGATGCTAGACACATGTGCATGAAAAGACATGTGCTCATCAAAGATAACACCAAGACTCCTAGCCGACTGAGAGGCAGCCACGCTCTCGTCACCAACACATAAGGACTGAAAGGATGGAGAGGGACGATGCTTTGAGTGGATAAGCATGACCTCCGTCTTGTCGTGGTTTAGCTTCAATTCGTTGAGATCCATCCAGCGACATATTGCAGAAACGCAGTTCTCGACCCTCGATTTAGCAGCGTCCACATCCACCGATTTGAATGCAAAGTATAACTGAGTATCGTCGGCGAATAGATGATAATCTAAGCCATAAGATCTTATCACTTTAGCAAGTGGCACAGTATACAGAAGGTAGAGAACAGGTCCAAGAACTGAACCTTGGGGAACACCCAAATGGTGAGTAGATAACAGAGAAAGAAACAGAGAATGCTTGTAGTCAGGATGATGCAGTCATTTCATGAGCTATTCAGTGCTCCAGTTAATTCTTTCAAGCGAGGGGTCATGAAGACAATCTGAGGGGTCACCCAGACCCATGCTTATGTTTATTTTCATAATATTTAACTTAACATTATTTTATATCTTATTTGTGTCGGGTCAGGAAGCCTTCTTAGTCGGGGCATTGACCTGAGACCCATCTCTTATCTGGAATACTGGCTATTGAAGGCCCTCAAATGGCACTTGATTGCTCACTCACTTGACTCCCATTAATTTATTCATTAAACTTGCATGAAACATTTCACTCCTACCTCCCCTACTAAGTATTGCTTTTGTTCCAAGTGCTTCATGTACATATGTTTGAAGTACTAGAAAGGCTTACATATTTTGCCTGATAAAATGGAGTTGATGCGACCGATTGAGTGTAAAAGAACCATTGCGTTACAATCGCAGCATGAAGATGGGAGTTAGTTCAGAGAAAAGCTAATTGGCCAAAGAACCCTAAGTGCCTTCTCTCCCAAAATGTGACAACAAATTTCTCTCTGATGTTATTGCAATTCTCTCCCTTCATGTGAAAAGTCACTCTTTGGATTTATTAATGGAAGTGTTTATATTATTTTGCAGATCTCTCAGTCAAATAGAAACATATTCACCTGGATAGTAAGAAGACCTTTGAATGCCATATCAGACAGAAAGAAAATTAAAACTTTATTTGCTTTGCAAGTTTTAAGAACAGAAAATTACTGCTATATAACAGCATTTTAAAAATGCCAAAAGTTGTCCCTGTCACATTTCATAAGTGCAGAATAATTTTTTGCAATTTCCGGTTAGATCAAACTGGTCACGTTATTGGCTAACTTGCCTATTTTTGTTCGCTAGTAGAAGTTACTATACAGCCCCGACTAACAAATTGTCATGTACACAGGCGAACCAATGCACCCCCATTGTGGGGGTCTTGTTGACTATTGAACTGACTTTTCAACACTGATCCAATTCATCCACGAGCTGGCTCACAGGAGCCTTCGATCTATTTCTGTTAAGAATTTTATTGTTAGTTCATTAATAATAACTTGACAGTGAACAACAAATGAAAAAGTTGTCAACGTTTTTCTTCGGTAGTCATGACAACTACCAAACTGCAAAACCTTTGCACAACCGCGTTGCATTTGTACTTCTAGAAAGTTATTAGAGGGCAGTGAAAAAGCTGGTTTGTCCCAATTAACTTATGAAATAACTAGATCATTGGGATACCACAAACAAAAATGGAAATTTTATCTGTGGTTTTGCAGATTGCTGCTGTGTCCTGATCTCCAAAGTGATTTATTATAACAGGACTGACATTCCCAACATATTTCAAGCAATCACAGTTTCCTTTATGTACATGTAACTGTAAAATAAAATATACCTTCAAAATATCTGTAAAAAGGTGGACTCCACTTCCAAACGCTGCAGCTAACATTGATAAAGACAAGCAGGCATACACATTCCTAAGATGACTTCGTGTTGATTGATCACTGCAAATAGGAAACCTCATCATCAATAATAGATTATCTCAAACCAGTGGTTTCAAGATGCAGAGCTGCGCCCACGCAGACATCATGTCTTATTTTTTACAATTTACACACATTGCAGCCCTAAGAGTTTCATCAGCTACTAAGAGCAGACTGAATCTTTAAATAATAAGAATTCTCCCTTTTTCCAAAACTTCAAAGATGGTCTTTCTGTGGGGTGACTAAATGCTAACAAAAGAGAAAATGCAGAACTGTGTGGGTACAGTTTCAATTCTTATTTGTAAGCAATTAGGTTCACTCATGAAATGACAGTGGTGTACTATCTAACATTGTAAACAAGTACTTTTTAGGAACTTTATATATCCCAGTACATGAAAGTCAACTTCCCACCATTTTTACCTTGCTCTTTACTTTTCTTTACAGCTTTCATTAACAGCTAACTACATTTATTTTACTACCTTTTGGAACGGTACACTTGTATTCTAAATAACTACACGGTTAGCAAAGGTTTATTTCTTCTCTTCCCGCAGCGTTCCTGTTTCGACTTTGTTTTGAGCAGTTCTCAAGTTACTATAAGCGAAACAAACCCTAACAGAAGTAGATTTAATTTATTTCACGTTTAAGCTTCCAATATCATCTCACGAGATCAGACAGTGATAGCTCGTAAGATCTTGAACATACATTATATCCTAAAATATTCAAAATCATATCGTTTCCTGAAGCAACAACTACAGTAAATTAAATTTTAATTTTTAAAGCCTAAATTTCAAAACGAAAGCGGAATGACATATTTCGCCACCTGCCCCTACAGCTCCAATGTGTCGGGTTTATCACCGACATTTTGTGTAACAAAGCCTGCTAGTATCTCAACTGCTTTAAAACTGCGAATAACATTCGAACTTATACAAGTCTTGTTGACGAAATAAAGTTAATTTGAAACACTTGCTCAGACATTGTAAGCTTACGTTATAACACTCACAGTTTCGAGAAGTCTTTCAACGCTGAGACAGAAATAGGTCTACTTCCAAATAAATTTTCCATCCTGGAGTATTCACAATAACGTTTCTTCCTCTTGTTTAGTTTGTACTATGATACCTTCTAGGCAAAACGCCTTTGAATACAAGAAAACTGTTTGTTTTATGCTGATGCAAGCTCAAGGCGGAAACAAAACAAAATGTCCACCCGCCTTGTCGACGTGCAAAGATACCATTGGCTTCGTAAACTGCTTCGTAAGCAATCGGCGAAACCGAAGTTACCCGATAGCTCGGCCGCGCCCAAGATTTTTACGAAAAAGGCCTAGGAACGAGGTGTTCAGTCGAGTCACAGGCAACCCAAGCACACTTGTAGCCTGCGTAGCTGGCTGAATTGTTTTTTCGCGTGTGAGAGGTTTGGCGGTGGGGTCGAGAGGGCCGCGGCACCCGGTTTTTTCTGAAATTGTGCTAAAATTGTAAAGAATTGTCATGAAAATATCTATTCTACGATTCTATAGAATTTAATTTTTGGACACAGTCGCTCTCAGAGTTCTTTAACCAGTAATTAAATAGTTCCTAAGGCAAGTCTCCCAGTTCCCTTTCTCTGAATTTTCTGGATCCGCTCCTGGTCAAGGCTTGGTAGAGGCAGGAGCCCATAACCCTGGTAGAGGTCAACTGGAAAAAAGTAGGAGAAAAACACCTACCTTTTGACTTTGTTACCAAGCGGCTTTGATAAATCGTTTTTTTTTTTAACAAAGTTCAGTTCGTGAGCTGCCGTTTCTTCGTACATCTCTAATGTTGTGTTTCACTTCAGACAAGCATTATTGGGGGTTTAATGTTGAAGAACGTTGTTCCTGTAAGGAGGGTTTTACCACTGAGAAATGTGTTATTTATGTGACGACTGTTGTCCCTGTTACGCGCGTTGTCTATGAAAAATATTTTTTCTTAGCAGGAGTGTTGTCCCTATAAAGAATGTTAGGAGTGGCTGAGTGTTCTCCCTATGACCAGATCTCCAAGTGCCAAAAGAAAGGAGATTTCTCAGCTTCTGACAGAGTGAGATCTAGGCATGAGGTTAGTGTTGTCCCTATGCCGAGTGTATTTAGTGCTTTGACGAGTGGTGCTCTTGTTAAAGGAGCTGTATCACGGCGAAATTCAGCCAAATTAGGAAATTACAAAATAATCGTTAAATTAAGAGAAACCTAAAAATAACCGCTTAAAACTTTAAAGGAAGGTTAAAATAACATAACAGAAACAGCAGATGCCACGGATGGGCAAAACTGAAGAAGATTGAAACGGATTGAAATTATGATTTTTGAAAACTGTTCAGCCTAACAGTTTTTCAAAGTTGATCCCTGCTACTTGCAACTTCAAAAATAATGCTCAGGAGACATATTTGTTTGTCTCGGATCTCTGATTTTGTCATTCACATGTAATTTCTTTGCTTACTTTAGTTCCATAACGATTAAGGGCGAGTATTTGGCAAAATTAAACAAAATGAGCTGGACTGCCGTGACACAGCCCCTTTAAGAGTATTGTCGTTGTGACGAGTGTTGGCTCTGTGAAGGGTGCTTTTTCTTGTAAGGGGCTTTGTTCCTTTAACGAGTGTTATGCCTACTACAATTGTTGACTGTGTTGTCTGGTCGACTACGTCTTGTAGGAAAGCGCTTTTACTCTTAGGCTGACCACCAGTTACATAAAGCTGAACGTAAACAGCAAGAGGTAGGCCTTTATAGTTCTTGCTTCATATTCGTTAGGTATTTCATAGGACCAGCAAAACTTACTCTGGGCATGACTACCTGACAAAGGCACAGAACCCACAAATCTTCCTTTAGCCGTACCATATTTCCAGATGGCGGGTATGGGAGGGTAGTATTCATAGGATGGGTGTAACTGGAACAGTTTACATCCGAAGCAGCTTATTATCGCGCGCTTTGCCAAACGTCTCCGACAAAGTTCTGTCTCACGGCAGCAAAAGTCAGCGACACTTCCCCATATTGTATCCCCTCATGAGCTTGAATTATGAGTTTCTTACTAAATACTTCTTCGTCAGTTAGAAGTTTCTAACTATACATGTAAACGTTCTCTTCAGGAAGGTAGATTGAGTAGTCACCATGTATTCGTCCTTTACATTCGAGTATAGCCCTTGTTCGTTCGTCGGAGGCTAATTGAGCTCCCCTTTGTCCTATACAATACAATACTTAAACAAAACGACATATCTCTCGAAAGGGGAATCTAGAAGTCATCCCTATATAAAAGATTTCCCACAATAAAAGAGAAAAAATCTAAAAGCTAGAATCTAGAAACATTATTTACAGAGAAAAAATCTAACAACCTGAAAACTAGAATCTAAAACAATTGAATTTATTAACAATCACAATTAATATTCATATAAATCCTCATACTGTTGGGAAGTTAAGGCCACGATCCTGCGTGTACAACGTCTAAAAGCAAGTTATTCCATATAACGATTCGTACTAAGAAAGATCAGAGTATTTGTAGCAATTCAGAGTGGCAACTTTTACATGGAGTTTATGATCGTGATTGGCTCTATTTCGATAACACTTGGTGAGCTCGAAAAAAAATCTGCACTAAACTAGAGATAAGAACTCTCTACGCTTCTCCAAAGTTTGCCAATTCAGTAAGCGACAATGGGCTCCATAGCTCATTTCTCCGCGCTTTTGTTTTAAGGCTAATTGAGATGGTCTCCTTTGGATTTTTTCCAAGGATTTGGTGTCTTTTACTTGTTGGGACGGGCTCCAGACGGCGGCGGCGTATTCAAGAATGGGTCGGGTAACCAATGACTTGTAGACTGAGGCAACAAAAACGCAACGAACCCTTCCAATCTAGAATTCTCGTCAGTTGTGAGAGTGGCAACCATTCCCATTGGTCCAGTGTAGAGCCACTGGGTAACCTTACAAGGCGTCCATTTCTCTGTGCAATAGATTCAACGACAGGTCGACCAGCTACCAAATCTAGTAGGGGGATTGTTTGGCCCTTGTAAGCATGCCTTGAATTTGAGCCTGATTCTTGAAATACAACTGCGTACGCGGCATTCGACAATCCTTTTTGGGTTGCGTTTCCGCTGGAATGTGCTCTTGTACTTGGCTCTTGAACCCGACTTCGTGGCATAGACAAACGCAGATTCCCTTTCATAGCCTTGTTCCATTATATTCCTTCCAATAACTACGAATGTCAGCAGGTTGGTCCTAATCCGATGAGAACCTCTTGACACAATCTTGCTGGTACGATTGCCGATCAGGGTTGATCAGAGAAGCCAGCCCAAGGCAGTCAGAGCGAGATCTATTCCGAACAAAATAGTTGGAACCCCCATTCGAATATTCCCCTTCCCCCGCCCTTCACATAGCTGAAAATTCCTCAAACTTTCCCAAACTGCGCTTTTTAACAACACTGAAAAGGGGTTAGGGGTCTGCACTGTGCATGTCCAAAAAATCTCACTGAAATCTTGAGTGTTGCTAGTTTTTTCGGCCGGTGTTGTAGGTCTAGCTAAGACCGGGAGTTAAGATCCTTCGCTTTGTCACTTTCAAACAGTCGTCTGAAGAAAGGTTACTACAATAGAGTCATTTTCCTTGTTCCACAGCTCAGGCCCAAGCGGCTCCCCCCTTTCTCCCTTTTTGTTCAATGGTTACTCCGCGCAACCAAGTTTGTTTGAACTCCTCGATGTTGGGAGCTTCACTCCCCAGTACGTTTTGAGAGCCACCTGTGCTGTTCAAAGTTCTCTTCCTACGCCTCGAGTGACAAGTCCGACTGCAACCCAAAGCTATTTCATGGTCCACCTGCTACCAGTATTTTATCCTAGTCTCTCTGTTGACAGATCAGACATATGGCCTAGTTGCAATTGTACACTGCTTACACGTCACCCTCGAAATCAATACCACTCAAAATTCCGTCAATAAATTGCGACAAAGAAAGTCGAGAGTCTAGAAGCAGTGAAAAAAAAAAAATTAAAATAATTCTATCTATGCTATGGTGGTAGGGCATTTCTTTCATCTTCTGGCAGGGCCATCCTTAATTCGTGGTATGCTTCGTCCGAAACCAAGCCACAATCCTTTGCAACAAGCACCCGTTGGGTGATTTCGTCGGATGAACTGGCTGCTGCTTCATCATCAACAATCTCGGCATCTCCAAGGGGAATTATTACTTCTTCTCCTTCAACACTAAACTTAATCTGAAAAAGGCAGTCATCTTATACTAAGACTGTGTATTGGTATTCTCTTGAAACTGTTTTCAGCTAAGCTTGTTTGTTACT